GCAGGTCTGTCATTGAATGACCAGACAGGTTAAAGTGTTCTCCTACTGGTTTTTGAATGTTATGATTCCTGATGTCAGATTTGTGTCCATTAATTCTTTTGCATAGAGACTGTCCGGTTTGGCCAATGTACATGGCAGAGGGGCATTGCTGGCACATGGTGGCATATATCACATTGGTAGATGTGCAGGTGAATGAGACCCTGATGGCGTGGTGGCGTGGCTGATGTGATTAGGTCCTATGATGATGTAACTTGAATAGATATGTGGACAGAGTTGGCATCAGGCTTTGTTGCAAGGATAGGTTCCTGGGTCAGTGTTTTTGTTCAGTGCCAGACTTTGGTTCTAAGAACAGATGTAAAATAGTGCATCCAATAAGATCTGCAGCAGCCATGGATCCTTTAAGATCCTCTTCCCTCTCTGCCCTTCCCATCTGGGTTCTGAGCCACTTCCTGAAGAGGTTTTAAATGTGACTCAAAACTTCATCAGGCCAAAATGGGTTAGCCAGCCAGTGAGAACAGGACTAGAGGGTGTTAGGACCATGCTATGGCATGTGTTTGGTGTTGCCTACATTCAGCATGGTTGTGAGACTCCATAACCGCTGTTCACACCCTACATTCTATTTTCATAACCTTTATACAAAGATTTGTATAATTTGAAAACTTATAATTTGCTGGTCATTATTGACCTCATAAATTGTGTGTGGCAACACTGTTTGTGAAGTTATAAGATTCCACCATATGGTGTTAACACACGTTCCAAACAGTGGTTGGCAAACAGGTCTGTCTCAAATAAAGGAACATGTGCTCTGCTTAACTTGCACATACGCTGTAAACAGGCTCATCAAGAAGGAAGGGCAACAAAAGAATCTCCAACAGGTGAGGAAAAATGGCAGCCAACATCCTTCCCCGAATGAGACTCCTTGTACACATGCTCTCTCTTCATCAGTTCACTGCACCAAAAGGGACAAAGGAAACAGCCACTGACCCAAGAAGTTTGGTCAGTAAGAACTGCTGAGAGCATGCAATGAGAAAGCTTTGTTTTGAATTTAACACAGTTTAAGTTGTGTTTTAGCTTGTTTTTCTTGTAACCATTTCTGACATTTAATGCCTCGTTAATTGTACTGACTTAAAAATTTCTCTCTGTAGTTAATAAACTTGTTTTATTGTTTGATCTGATCCAGTGGGTTTAAATCAAAGTGTCTGGGAAATGCTGTTGGGGGTAACAAGCTGGGTGCATATTTCTATTGATGAAATAATGGACTTTATATAAACTTGCATTGTCCAGGAGAGGGCTGGGCAGTACAGGACGTACACTTCTGGAGGAAAAGTTAAGCCTGGGAGTGAGTTGGGGTCACCGTGCAGTATAAGCCAGGTTGGTGAGAGCCACGGTGTGGCTGGCTGCAGCACACAGACATGGCTGGGAATGACTTGCAGGCTCTCTGTGAGCACTCCAGACTGGAGGCTACAGCAGCAAGGCAGTGTAAAGGGCAGCCCGGGTTAGAGGGCAGGCGTGACACAGCTACATAGTAGTCTGGATCGTACCCTGGGTATGTCACAGTGGTGTTAAAAATGCCTGCACTCTGCCATAATACACTGGAGCTGAGTCAGGGAAGGAAAACACATAGGATGCAGCTCTGCTGGTGATACAACAGAGACACTGGTGTAGACAGAGCATTTTTACCACCACTTTTCACAGTATAGGGCTGGAAACACTTCAGCTCCAGCTACACTACCCACTTGGCTCTCATTGGTGTATCATTGCTGAATGTTGCTGTAACACAGATTCTTTTTTTTTCTATTCTGGATACAAAGCTTGTGAAACCGGAAGAATTCCACTCCCCACTTCGCAGATAACACTGATTCAGGGACTTTACATAATTTCCTGTACAACTTGTCATAGGTTCACGATCAAGTTGAACTAACTTAAAGCAGAAATTCTCCCTTTTATGTCATTTCTTGAATCTGAGCCTCCACTTTCAAATCTGCATTGAGGAAATAATGCTACACGCAGTTAAAGGCATTTCTTAGTCACCTTCATAGTTATCACTAAAGAGGAGCATTTAGAACCTCCTATAAACCACGGGCTGTCTAAGGTTCTCTGTTTGCTAAGTGTTGGGTGCATCTCTGGCTGGCTCAGTCAGGCCTGGGGATTTCTCTGAGGAAGTCGCCACGGTCTTCAAAACTTGATTCTTATCTAGTTTCACTTTACAATAGACCAGGCGCCAGCCACAGCACGTACAGTCCTGCAGTGACTAGTTGGGACAAATCTTGCTGCACAGTGAGCCCACTGGTCCCTAACTAGAAAGTCCAGGCCTCTGCAGACAGCTGACAAGCCGATAAGAATATTTTCATGTCGCATACAGCCTCTGCTGGTGACAGACAAGGTGCCATTTGTGACCCAGTCTGTGGTTTCCAGTCATTATTGCCAGTGAATGGGGGGCGCAAAACACTCTGCAGGAGATAAAGTGGAGTCGCTTCCTTTTCACATAGCCTCCTGGCTCCTCATGTGAGGCTGGGGCATTGTGTCCTTCACTGTAGACACGGAGGAGGTTCAGAATTGCATGGGAGCAGAGCAGGAAGCAGCAGTAAGGTGGGTTTCCATGGGTCCATCTTTCAAGGAACACTGAACTCACCTTGTTAAGGGATCAAGCCAGAGCCCATTGAAATCAATGGCGAGACTCCCGTGGACTTCGGTAGGAGTTGGCTCGGGTCCTAGATATATAATGCACCATAAAATTGTACTCTGGTACTGGCTGCACAAGTGAAGAAACGTGGACCATAGAAACAGCACCCCCATTCTGCCCCGCAGGATACAGTTCTGCCCCAAAGACAGCCTGCGGCAGTACGGCACAGTGTGATTTTGTTAGTGACAAAGAATTAAGATGCCAATTGGTATTTCCTGAATCTCAAACCCCCTTAATCAAAAGACTAGCACCTCCTCTGCCCTGCTTTGCAACAGGCTCTGCCCTGCCCAGGCTCTGCCCCAGCCTTCATTAAGGCAGAGTTAAGGTTGCCCAGTGCTGCTTTGTGCCCTTCCAGAATGTGGAGAGCCGCTAGACTTAAACCTCTGTAAACTAGGCACTAGAGAGTCAAGGGACATGCAAAGCAACCTTAACCCCGGGCTCTGGCCAGAACCACTGGGAATGGTTCAAGGGGGGGGGACATACACCTCTACACCGATATAACGCTGTCTCCGGGAGCCAAAAAATCTTACCGCATTATAGGTGAAACCG